GGGCCGGCCTGCGGGGGGGGGGGGGGGGGGGGGGGGGGGGGGGTGAGTATTCTTGGGAATTCGAGGTGGAGGTGTGCCGCAGAGCACTTCTAATTACCTAAACTTGCTGACACGAACAGCTAAGAGAATTCCGAACTAGGAACTAGGCAGATACAATCATATTGATAATATAAGGTGATGTTCACTTATGAGGAATAATTTTTACACTAAAGTTTAGACTCTTATTCCAAATATTACCTAGTTACCTGTAATGAACTGCTGAGCTCCTCTTATTACTGTATTGAAGTACAATTCATTAGATATATTTCAGTGTGATTTAATTTTTGCGACAAATTAGTAGAAAAAGTAACTTAACTGTTATTAAATTAAAATTCAACTCTCCTACTTTTTACTTTGAAATAACTTTTACAGTACTGTATATATGAACTTGTATGGTCATTAAAATAAAGCTTGTCGTTGTTGAGAATGGGATGCCTATAATTTCACCCCGGCCTCAGATATGGTTATTATTCGTCAGAAAGGACCTCTGAAAGGACAGTGGCGCAAAGAGGTGTCAGAGAATCTCACAGCAGGAAATAATAAGAAAGCTCTCCTTGACAGAAATGAAAACACGGAAACTTCAAAAGATTAAAGTTCTGATACGATTTCTGACCTCTAAACCGCGTTCAGTATTGTCTATATCTATAGTTCTATTTGTTTTGAAAGGGTAAGTATTAATTGCTTGGAGGATTTTAGGAGTGACTGCATGACTGGACTGCCTTTCAAAGGCCACTGGAAGCTACTGGAAGCAGGACGAAGAAAAGAACTGGAGAGAGGCGGAAGCTACCCACCCTGTCCTTCGTGACAAACATTACAGACTGCTACAGTGGTACCTCGATTAATGAAGTGCTACGGGACTGGGGAAATTTGTTCGCTATATCGAGGGTTCGTTATATCGAACACCTCCATTTAACGAATTTTCGGGAAAACTACCAAAATGATCGTTAAATAGTAAAGTTAATTAATTTACAAAACCCAGCATTTCCGGATCTGAAAAATTACTGTGATAACATCATCATCATAGACATTTCAGTACCGAGCTATACTGGCCATACATAGCTACGGCTCTAAAAATTCAAGAACAGGCAAACAAAACTGCTTAAAATAATCGACACATAAATTTTAACCTTGTTGGTCTGTTTGGCATTCATCTTTTCTCACATGCTGACATTTATCCGTTTGTCGAGGTATATTTTACGTTTTGCGCGTGTGGATTGTGTTCGTTATAACAGGTGTACCCAACGAGAAAAATTTCAAAAGTGATTGGATATCGGCTCCAGTAATATTTTGACAGTCACTTAGTGTTTTTTGGTTGATTATTAACTTCTGTGGGAAAATTATATCCGCTCCCCAAAGCTAGCTAGAAGTAGATGTTAAAATGCAATTTCCAGCCAGGATCTTTACCTTAGGGGCCTTTTTCAAGCTAGGATTTTTACCAAAAATTCATTTTCTCAGCCAGGAAACGAAATTGAGCCATTTTCTCCAGGTGATAGGAAAAAAGGAGATAAAGAAAGTTAAGTAGTGTTTTGAAACCTTTCCTTTGCCTGTGACCGCGGTACACATTTAGTACGCGGGTTTTAAATGCCATTTCTAATTTCTAATTACCATATTTTCTGCGTCATTTCGTCGACTTTTCAAGCTCAATGGTCTGTAGGAATAAAAAGTCTTCAACTCATTCCAAACTCGAGCGAAGTTGGGAAAATTAAAGAGCTGGTCAGTTACCAGATTTGAACACTAAGACTGAAGCCATGACTCCCTCTCAACTTCGTTCCCAGGGTCAGAGAGTGTTTGTAAAATACTTTGGCCAAAAAGTAAACACATTAACTATCTTCTTCCCTCCCCCTTCTTCTACTACTCATAATTCTAAATTTTATTCGGCGTACACGCGAAAAGGCCAATAGGAAGTAATAAAAATTGAGATAAACATTATTAACAACTGACTATCCGGTGCGCAAAAATCAAGTGACAGCAAGGTGGTACCCCATTATAACGAGTTATATAACGGGATAACCAGGATTTAGTTAAATCGAGGTTCTGTTCCATTTATTTTACCGTAATTTTGGCCGGGCTGAAGAAAATCGTTCGTTATACCGAGGACTTCGTTATATAGAGGCTCGTTAAATCAAGGCTCCACTTTAGCTGGTTTTGCTTTAACGTTTGAGTTACTGCGCTTTTCACAAACACGCGAACTCTAAAATTTTAAAAGCAGCCTTCACAATTGCGTTTTTCGCTGCCTTCAATCATAATTACGATCACAAGCAATGAACCTTGAAACACAGAAACACACAAAACGGATCGAAATCCGCCAATCACAGATCACAAACCTTGATCTTTTGAACCCGTTAAAGCAAAGTTCTGTTTCCTAAGAGTTCCGTGAAGATGATTGACGGCAGCGAAAAATGCAAACGTCAGTTGGTTTTTGAACTTCAGAGTTCGCGTGTTTATGAAAAGTGCAGTAAGGGACACCTCCATCCAGGCGACACAAAATCTGGTCCTAGAAAAATGTTCGCATAATCTTTGTTTCTGTTACCTCTATCAAGGGAAACCTCTATTCAGAGAAAAGGGGCACTTATTTCTGGGTAACCCACATTTATCCTTCATTCAGCATGTTCAGGGGACACCTTAGCACTCAAAAAGTGAGTCAGAAAGAGTTTGAAATGCACACCGCTATAAATCACAATGATGCATTCACAAACTGAACAATGTCGCTTAAATTAATGTACTGCAATTGTGGAAATTCAACAAGCAAATGCGATATCACAGAGGTAAGATTAACATATTATATATTACTATACATTGCTTTGCAATGTCTACAGCCGATTCTCAGGCAGAATGAAGAAATATAAGATAATGCCTTTATTAATTATTAACAAACCTCAGTCCAGTCTCCATTCAGACACTTGCCGCGGGTCTGAGTTGGCCCCCTGATGGTTCAGTCCACTGTACTATTACTTGTCGTACTTTGTACAGAGGAAGCTGTTATGGTTCGTTTTACTTTCAAAACAGTATGAGCAATGCAAATCCTGATCATCAACAAGGATATCAAGCACTCATAGAAGCTGGAAACTACATCAAGAAAGGTTGTGAAATAATACAGCGAGAAGCGAGCAGAGTTCGTCATGAACAAGAGTCCATCGATGCAATGTCGAAGAAACTAGACCAGTTTCACTTTTCATCCACTGTTAAACTGAACGTTGGTGGTCAACACTTTACCACAACTGTTCAGACGCTGAAAAAAGATCCCAACTCAATGTTAGCCGCCATGTTTTCTGGAAAGTTTGAGATGAAGCCTTCTGAAGACGGTTCTTTCTTTATCGATCGTGATGGAACTTACTTCCGGTTTATACTAAATTATCTTCGTAATGGCGAGCTGATTTTACCAGATGGTGCTACATTCCTCAAGGAACTCGAAGCTGAAGCTAAGTTTTATCAGCTGCAAGGGATATTGGATGAACTGAATCCTAAAGAACCGTTCGAGGAGTCGGTGATACTGACGAACGAAGAGCATCGAAGAATCTTGAAAAGTTGGTTACCTGAGGCTATTACAGGGGAATGGCGTTTGCTATTTCGAGCTTCACGAGATGGCTTTGCTGCTTCAGCGTTTCATTCCAAATGCGACAACAAAGGACCTACAATGACTGTTGTAAAAAGTGGTGGCCGAAACATTTTTGGAGGCTTCACTGAGAACGCTTGGACAAGTAAGATAAATTGATATAATTCTAAACTACAACTGAATTAGTTTTATCGAGTAACTCATGACTCCTGGTTGAGAACTTTAATTCAAATTTTATACATGTCGCATAGCCTGTGTAGTGATCCCAAGAGCAATAAAGTATCCAAACAAACAGATTTAACTCAGCCAATTTCATTGCAAAAGTAACATTGCCGCCGCTATCAAAAGCACATGGTTTTCATATCCCAGCATACTTAGCGGCCTAATACATTACATCTCTCCTTTCCTCAGAAAAATGCTCCTTTACATGAAAATAGAAATCTCCACGAATAATAAAGTCAACTATACTAACGATAAAGTCTCTTCTTCTAAAATACGCAAACAGAAACTTAAATGTTCAAACTGTACATAGTTCTGAAGAGAGAATCAGTGTTCATGTTCCCCAAAGAAAATTAACAACATAGTCCATAGTCTGGGTGTGGGGGTGTTGACACAGAGTCTGACCCTTGTTGGGGTGTGGGATCTCCCTCTCTAATGTAGTGCTTCACATTACTTGTGTTTCTGGAGTACTGGTTCTCTGCTGGACTCTCTACTACGAGGCTGTTTCCGGTGTTGCCGACCACCTTAAAGGGGTTTGGGTTGAATGCAGTGCTGAGTTTGTTAGTCGTGTCTTGTTGGACAAGAACTTCATCACCCAGTTCAATGCTGGAGGGACTGGCCCTGCGGTGTATGTCTGCATAAGCTTTACTGTTAGCTTTCTGTTCAGCATCACGATCATGTACTTCATGGTCATAGGCATGGTCGATGCTTAAATCAGCGATCTTCCCCTTGACCTTTCGGTTAAACAGTAGCTCAGTGAGATTCTTTCCAGCCGTATTATGGGGAATGCTTCTATAGGCGGTGAGATACTTCTGCCTGAGCAATTTGTAGTCGTTTCAACAGTGACCGATTCTGTCTCTCGTCCTCTCCGTTGGCTTGGGCCCACTTGGCAGTACCTTTCTGATGTATAATACTATGCTGTTCACAATATTGTCTAAATTCATTCGACTTAAATAGTGGACCATTGTCTGACTTGATGGTATTTGGCAGCCCATGTCTGCAGAAGGCATCAGTCAGACGGTCTATGATCGTTTCAGTAGTAGTGGACTGCATAACCTCGACTTCATAAAAGCGGCTGAAGAAATCAACAATGACTAATAGTGAATGTCCGGATGGTAGTGGTCCCATTAAATCTACTGCGAAGTCTTTCCAGGGTCCATCGAGTAATGAGGTGGATCGAATGGGTTCAGGGGGATCTGGCCGTGCCACCAGCTGACACCCATGGCATGCTCGGCAATGTCTCTCAGCTGCTTTATCCATCCCTGGCCACCACACCTTGGTTCTGAGGTTCTGTTTGGTGCCAACCACGCCCAAGTGGCCTTCATGAGCAAGTGTTAAGGTCCTTGGCTGTAGCTTACTAGGAATAATAACGCGTGTACATCTACGCACGAGATGACCAATGACACACAACTCCCCCGCCACTGTCATACATTGTCTACACTTTTCAAACCGCCCCGTAGCAATAGCTTTCCTCACTTCTTTCAGCTCTTCATCGTCAGCAGAGGTCTCTTCTATCTCACGGGTTGTGAGTGCCGTTGGTGTTGCACTTACAGCAGCAAACCTAACATACTCTTCAGTACACCGCTGGTGGTTGTCAGGTTTAACCTTCCTATGAAGTAGTGGCGACAATGGATCAGCAATGTTCTCGCGCCCAGCCATATGATTTCAGTGTGATACACAGGCCTGTAATCTGAGAACCCATCGCTCTATCCGTGCACATGGTCTTGACCGTGGACCATAAATGACCTCTAAATGCTTGTGGTCGGTCTCTACAACAAACTTCATCCCATACACAAAGACATGGAATCTCTTACACGCCCACACCACACCCAGTGCTTCCTTCTCTGTCTGGGAATATCTCTGCTCACATCCGGTCAAACTACGACTCACATAACATACCGGTGTCCATGCGCCGTCCTGCTCCTGTACGATAACAGCGCCCAGCCCAACTGGACTGGACTGATTATCTTGGTGGGCGCATTCTTATCGAAATATGCCAAAGTGCAAGCTTCTGCCATCTTCTGTTTGAGAAATTCAAAGGACTTCTTCTGCTCTGGTCCTCTCTTTCCTTGTCAGCCTTCGCCGTGGTTCGGATAAAGTGGCAAAGTGAGGTATGAACCGGCTACTGTAGTTGGCTAAACCCAGAAAGCTATGTACATCTGACGCACTCTTTGGTTCTTCCACCTCTAATACTGCTTTGCCACGATCTGCTGTAGGACCAACGCCTTTCTCTGAAAGCAGCATACCCATGAACAAAGCCTGTCTGTATTGAACAAACATTTCTCAGCATTTAAAGTGATACCGCACTCTTGCAGATGCTCTATAGTTTGGTGGAGTCGCCTGTTGTGTGTTTCTGTGTCGGGACAATGCACCACAATGTCATCCGAAATGTTTTGGACACCTTCAATACCTGCCAGGGCTGAAGCAATTTCTTGTTGATATTGTTCACTGGCAGAACAGACACCAAAGAGCAAGCGCTTATATCGAAACAAACCATCGGGTGTAGCAAAGGTTGTGATTTCCCTGGATTCTGGGCTCAACTCCAACTGGTGGTACCCCCATTTAAGGTCTAATTTACTGAAGACCTTAGAACCATTCATGGTATGTAACACCTCATCAACTGTGGGAATTGGATATCGTCTTTGCATGATTGCTTGGTTTGCCTGTCTCATGTCCACACATGGGCGGATTTCGCCGTTGTTCTATGGGACGATCACCACAGGGTTGACCCAGGGGGCTTGACCCTCCACTGGTTCAATTATTCCCAGGTTCAACAGTTCTGTGGTCTTATCTCGGATCTTTCCTCTCAGATTAAATGGTATCCTTCTATAAGGCTGTGCAATAGGTTTTACAGTGGGGTCTATATCCAGGGATATCTGTTCTTTTTTCAATTTTCCAACACCCTCAAATACCTCTGGGTACTGCTGTTTTAAACTGTCAGTTTTACTTGTTTCCATAGCAGTGTTAATCCCAATTTTCAACACTCCCAGTTTTGTGGCTGTTATCTTTCCAAGCAGTGACATCCCTCTACCTTTAATTACCAAGACCTCAGCTTTGGTGGATCTATCACAAACACTCACTGTACACTTAAAACTACCCTTAACTGGTAGTGGCTGACTAGACGCATATGGGTACAGCTTCTCGTCTGGGGTAGCAGCTTGTGATTCACATTTCACTCCCTTCACCTTTAGCTGTTCCCACGTCCCCTCGTCAATAATGTTGCTGTTTGCCCCAGAGGCTATTAACATCTTGAGGTCAGCTCCTCCTATTTGTATGGTGACCATTTCTGAGTGTTCTCCTTCTGAAATACTGAATGCATAGTCATGCTGGGGCCCAGGGTCATTGACATCGGGTTCGCTCCCAACCTGACGAGCATATGACTTTGTCTTGCAAACTTTTTCAAAATGATCTTTCCCGCGACACTTTCTACATGTTTTCCCTCTTGCTGGGCACTGGGGATCACGACCGAAATGTCCCAATAAACCACATCTATAACATATCTTATCTCTCTCTTGGAATCGCCCTTGTGTGCTACTACTCGGATTGTTACGTCTCTCATTGATTCTATTGATACTTTCTGATTCTTCCCCCTCTACTGAAAGGGTAGCCAGTTGGGTTTCTATCTTTTCGAATTTTGCGGCAACCTCTAGGGTGCGTGTTAAGTTCAGTCCTAGGCCTTCTTCAAGCAATTTTCGTTTGATGTAAGTGGAAGTGCAGTTATTCAAAAGTGCATCTCTTATCTGGTTGTCGGTATCACTGTCAAAATCACAATCTTTAGCTGCTTTCCTTAAGCAAGTGACAAACTGTTGAACTGTCTCACCTGGGTTTTGCGTGATCCGATGAAAGGTCTGGCGGGCGAATGCTGAATTTACCTGTGGCACGAAATAGGCGTTGAGAGCTTCAACAGCACTGGCGTAATTTGTAGCATCCCCGGTTTCAGTTAAGGTGGTAAATATCTCCTGTACATCAGGCCCAGCCAGGTGGAGTAACGTTGCTCTTCGCCTCTTTTTGTTGCTGCTGTGGTTCCTTCGCTTATAATAAGCCCTTTCCCGTCGGCGTACAGTTTGAATGAAGTTAACCACCTCTTCCATCGGGGGTCAATCGTCGCGTCAGAGAAACAATCAAACTTCGGTAACACGTTCTTTTCCATTTTTTTGTCCTCGTCGCCAATGTAGTGATCCCAAGAGCAATAAAGTATTCAAACAAACAGATTTAACTCAACCAATTTCATTGCAAACGTAACATGGCCGCCGCTATCAAAAGCACATGGTTTTTCGAACTTTTTCCTATCCCAGCATACTTAGCGGCCTAATACATTACAGCCTGTGTGACAGGNAAAATCACAATCTTTAGCTGCTTTCCTTAAGCAAGTGACAAACTGTTGAACTGTCTCACCTGGGTTTTGCGTGATCCGATGAAAGGTCTGGCGGGCGAATGCTGAATTTACCTGTGGCACGAAATAGGCGTTGAGAGCTTCAACAGCACTGGCGTAATTTGTAGCATCCCCGGTTTCAGTTAAGGTGGTAAATATCTCCTGTACATCAGGCCCAGCCAGGTGGAGTAACGTTGCTCTTCGCCTCTTTTTGTTGCTGCTGTGGTTCCTTCGCTTATAATAAGCCCTTTCCCGTCGGCGTACAGTTTGAATGAAGTTAACCACCTCTTCCATCGGGGGTCAATCGTCGCGTCAGAGAAACAATCAAACTTCGGTAACACGTTCTTTTCCATTTTTTTGTCCTCGTCGCCAATGTAGTGATCCCAAGAGCAATAAAGTATTCAAACAAACAGATTTAACTCAACCAATTTCATTGCAAACGTAACATGGCCGCCGCTATCAAAAGCACATGGTTTTTCGAACTTTTTCCTATCCCAGCATACTTAGCGGCCTAATACATTACAGCCTGTGTGACAGGCATTTGTGCATTAATCACCCTTGTTAATTTCCTTCCTAATTTTTAAATGACTATTTCCTCTTTATTCTGTGGGCTCATACTTGGATGTATAGAATTACCATACATTATACTCACAACCTCGTTTCCAGAGTTCTCCGTAGGGACGGGTAAGAGAGAACCCTGGGAACGAGGTTGTTATACTTGTCAAATATTGGTAACTTCTTTATAGATGGCTTTAACTTATTTCTACGTTTCTCAGGGGAAGACTTTTCGGTAGAATGAAAAAGGATATCGTCAATCGCCTCAGGCCAAAATTTCGTATTCTATGCAAAGGAGAAAGTCTGTTTAGTTTATTGCGTGGGCAACCGAGCTCAATACAGGTTCAGGATCAAAGAAGTGAGATGGGACAGAAATTGTTTGAAAGGTTTAGATTTCAATAACCTTGAAATTTAAATTTGAAAATGACTGCTTAGTACATAATGTCTGAATATATATGTCAGGTGTAATCACTGTTATTCACAGGTCTTAATACATATGTGTCATGTCGCCATGCCTTCCTGTTCAGCTTTGTAAACCCAAATGGCCTGGGACCAACCAAACTGTCGCTCATCACTGGGAAGGAAGAGGGTGGCATCCGTTGTAATAGCGGCTGTGGACCAATGTTTGGTGATGGGAATGACCTATGGATAATGAATAATGCAAACACAATTTCTAGTCTCAGCAATCTCGGCCACACCTATCAGCTTCCACCAGGACAACAGTGCACGTTCTTCACAGGTGCCCCAAAATTCAATGTTGCAGATTACGAGGTGTTTGGACTCTGCCAGTGACAACTGCCAAGCAGGTGAGATAAACACTTACAGTTAAAATACCCCATGCTTTACCCAAACGTTGTAACGTAAACGTATTTAATGCCTCATTAGGGGTGCTAGGTACTCAGGAGAAATATGTTTCTTTGAAATTGTTCGGCTTTAATTTAACAGAGGTGCAAAGTGGGGCCAAATCAGAGCCGTAAGTGAACTTGGCTTTTAAAAATTACCCTGCTAGCAGAGTCGCTTCGATCTTTCCTAGATGAGTCGGGAAAGAGGAAGCGAGTTCCTTCCTCTTCCCGACTTATCTAGGAAGATCGAAGGAGACTCTGTTCGCAGGGTATTTTAAAATAAGAGCTGATCTAAGTCAGCATAGTTTAAAGGTTCTCAGAAAGCAATATTTTCTTCACCTTGACTAGTCTCTCATAGTACGAATTTTTGTAGTAAAAACCACACCAATCTAGCTAGCATTTATTTCTCGATTACTTCTTGAAAGCCGGCGTTAACCCTCTTCGTGAAGAAGACTCTCGGAACATTTGACCGTGTCACTACAGGCGCTGTGTTTTGTTCTCGTTGTCAAACTGAAAAAGAAATATAAGATGAATGCGTCAGTTGTTTGGTTCGAGATGGGACTACATCCCGAGGTGCTCTAAAAAGATCCTTCAGTTATCCGCGTTTCGTTAGGCTTTTTGATCGACTTTGTGACCGACTGAGTCCGCAAAACGTCCTTAGGCCATAAAAGCATTTCATAGGCACGGCAACGCAATTCATCTGGTTTACGGGAAGTTTGAATTTACCCTTCGGGTTTCTACTCTGTCCGTAGAGTGGCCTTAAAAGGGCCGCGCATGATTTTGTTACCTACTTGTCTTGTTTCCTACCTCAGCTGTACAAGGCCAGTACAAACGAAATGATAAAAAACGCTGGGGCAATTAATATTTCAGTTAGCAAAACTGTTCCTCAGTCTAATACGCTTAACTCTCGCTTCACACATACGCCTCATATAAACTCAGTCACTATAATACGCGCACTTACTAATGGGTCTGAGAGTGTGCGCAATATTAAGGGGAGGTGACTGTATCTGCATTGAGTTAGCCGGAACAAACCTTGTACTCTAAGCTGTATAAGTAATAAGTACATGGTAGTCAAGAATAGGCTTCAGTTTTAATCGTAACTATATAATATTTACCGAAAATCTTTTAAATATATCCTATATGCTCATCTGATTAGTTTTAGCAATGATGTCATTCTTCCTTGGAATGGATACAGTGGATATACTACCGACAGTGTTCTTCATTAACCTCACAAGTCTGTTAA